TATCTTAAAACTAGCATGCATTAAGTTGGGATTTGTTTTTCATGCACATTAGTGGCGGTGTCTCGAAGCCTCTATAACTCATGTTCTATGAAATTAGTGCATACACTAATGTGTAATATGTTATATTTACATACATGGAATCATCGATATAATCAGGAATCAAGAAACTAAGTCTTAAACATAATAAGTATGACATATATGTGATATGTCCTAGACTTTGACTTGAGTATGAACCCTAATTGGTGACATGAAGCTAATTCTTAGTGGAGATTATGATACATTAGGAATCAAATCATACAATTTTGCTATGATTTTGGAGAATATGACTTGTTATATTTAGGGGAGGTGTCGTTGTGTATATATATATATATATATTTTTTTGTTGATGACATTGTGTTGATGCAGACACTAAAAGCATGTTAAATGCTAGGTTTAGATACTTGGAGGTTTATACCGGAAGAGAAGGGGTTTCAAATGAACAAAGCGCATACATTATATTTTTGACGCAACTTCAACAAAGAATGCAATTATATTTGAGTAGAATGGGGTGTTGCAGAAGAAGTCACACACTATATGACAAAGGAGTTTAGTGTGCCATGAAGGTCTCATTGATATTGAAGGGAAATTTTTACATGGTGACAGTTAAACCAACTATGATGTGTGGATCAAAATATTGGTAGATTAAAAATGAACATAAGAGGAAGAGGCACGCAAATGATGATTCTCGATAGACATGTAGTAGAACATTGTTTGAAGATATTCCAAATGCCACAATCACAAATACATTGGGAGTGGCTTCAGTCACGAAAAAATTGAGGGAATGAAGATTTTGATGGATCAAACATGTCCAAAGGAGGCAAACGACGACTACAGCTAGGAGGGTGGACATAGTCACCCGGTTAATGTGAGGAGATAAGGACGTCCAAGAAGGAGTCGAGAAGATATTATGAGGTTAGATGTGAATGAGATGGCTCTTTCAAAGGATTAGACATTAAAGAGGTCAAACATTAATTAATGAGTTGATTGAGCTCTCTCGGATGAGTATACCTCACATATAGGAGGAGGTAGAAGCTTAGAATAAGGGTGGTGTAGTATAAGTCCTAGTTTTCCTTTTTTTTGTGTGTGTGTGTTTGTTTTTCAAACGGTATCTAATTGATTAACTTTTCCCACCTCCACTTTCCACTTTATTACTTTACCCTCCACTTTCTACCTTATTACTTTACCCTGAAACGAGAATTGAACAATGTTAAATTCTAAAAAGAATTAAAAGAGCTAAAAGCATCACTAGAAAATCATATTATCAATGACTTCCAAATTCCAAACAAAGAAAAAAACAATTGTCACGTTATAAATTAACCTTTCATGAATTATAATATGCCACACCTTTATAATTATAGGCAAATTGTATTAGTTACCATCCTCAACTTCATGAAAAGAGAAAATGTATATCACATGAGCATTTTGATGATGTTCTTGGGTATTTATTGTAGGGTTAAAAAGTAGGCATACCAAACATGGAGAGTATTGATTGAAGTCAGAGCTTCAGCAAATAAGGCAGTCCATTTAATCGGTTACCCACTTCTTATATTCATTCCAATACCACACCCCCACACCTTCATAAAGAATCCATCCTTCAACCTAATCTCTTCAATCATATTCCTTTTTATTCATATTCTGTAAATAAACAATCTATCCTTCATGTAACTATATCATTACGTTATCTTGTTTATGAACAAAATTGCGTTCCACTTCTAAGAAGAAAAATCCTATTCTCCATATACTTATATCATGTACTATAGTGGCATGAGAGCATTCACTCTACTTCTTAAAGAAACTAGCATGTCAATATAAAGACCAAACGTTCATGTCTGCTAAGAGTTTCTATAAATAGAACAAGAATCCTGTGCAAGTTATTCTACAGTTCTAAAAGTAGCAAGTCGTCTTCAATGATGTGAATTCTTTCCATATGCATCCAACAACCATTTACCTAATAATATTACATCATTTATTTGAAGGACCGGGTGTTAGGTAATGTAGGCCACCTAAAGAAATTCATAGCAAAAAAATTGAAGTTCAATAAACACAACATGAATAAGATTTTATTGCTTTGAAAGGTCAACCATCAAGACCTTTAATGAATTTGTCTCAAATCATGGGTTTTTTTTCCCTTTAATGATGTCTAAAGAGTACAATTTACATCTCATTTTATGTAATAAGATACATTTATCTTGTTGCTATCCAGAATGGCCCCGAGGGGAAAGGATGTGTGAAAATTGAAAGATACAAACTATATTGCCTTTATAAGCTCAAAGATTTTGGGAATTGTAGGACCCACAAGGCTAATTGCATTATGATAAACCGAGCTTCTAGTGAGATTTCTTCAAACCAGATACCAATGAAGCTAAATAATGACTTGGCATTTGATAACTTCTCCTCAATAACTGCCTCAGCTGAAACTCTTCCAATGATCAAGAACGACTCCAAAGAAGGTCTTTGCAACTGTTAAAGAAACAAAAGTGAAATTCATCAAGATTCAAGAAAGCTGGCTTTTTTATAAAGTTTTGAAAGATATTGTAATACTAAATACCAATGCATTGTCGACTGAGCGTAAGCAATCATTTGTTTTCATCATTAGAAGTATAACACGTGGAAGTCTATGCAGAAGCTCTGTCACTTGAGAAAAGTATTCAGGACCATATATCTGAAAAACAAAGGTCAAAGCTTTTATTACATATTATGTCTCAAAGATTTATTTGATAAACATCATAAAGTTCAAAGATTTATTCAATATACATCTCAAATGTCAAAGCTTTATTTGATATATACATCATAAAGGTCAAAGCTTTATTCAATATACATCACAAAGGTCAAAGATTTATTGGGTATGCATTGCAAGGGTCAAAGGGTCAGAGCTTTATTTGATATACATCCTAAAGGTCAAAGCTTTATAGGATATACATCACAAAGGTCAAAGCTTTATTTATAATTACATCATAAAGGTCAAAGCTTTGCTGGATATATCTCACAAAGGTCAAACCTTTAATCAATACATATCACAAAGGTCAAAGCTTTATTTGATATACATCATAAAGGTCAAAGCTTTATTCGATATACATCAATAAGGTCAAATCTTTATATGATATACATTATAAAGGTCAAAGCTTTATATACATCACAAAGGTCAACACTCACCTGAAGGTCTGATTGATCACGTATGACCAAATGGTCAACAGCAGGATCAATAACTCTCTCCCATGGTTTCATAGTAAGAATACTTGTGAAAAATGTATAAAGATCCTCTCCAGCACCAAATTTCATGCAATTTTCCTTGATTCCTTTGGCATCAGCCAAGACCAAAGCCTGCAAAACAAATCAATTCTTTTCGTTTTTGCAATTTTATAAGAAAAAAAAATCAAGAAATCACAAAGTGCACCTTCCAGAGTGCAGCATAGCTGGTTCTTGTGTAGGTGTCAAGTTCTTTGTAGAGTCCATGGTCAAGGAGTACTAATTGTGGTTTACATCTTCCTTTACACAAACAAAAATCAAAAAACACCATGAACAATGTGGTCAATAAATAAAAATAGAGAAAGGGGCAAAATTGGAAAAATACCAAAAATGCTACTTCTGCCCGAAGGCAAAGCACGAACTATCAAATTTGCAGCATGTGGATCACAATGTACAAATCCATGTTTGAACATCATTTCAGCAAAAATTTGACTAACCTACATTTAAGTCAAACCAGACTCTTATAAACATTCAACAACTATGCAACATGAAAGCAAAAAAAGAAAAAAAAGAAATGGACTTACTAGTTTCGATATGTCATGGGGTCTAATTCCAAGTTTTTTGATGCTTTTTAAATCATTGACTTGTGGACCTTCTATGAACTCCATGGTCAACAATTTTGATGTACTTAGACTCCAATAGATTTTAGGGGCATACACATAGCCTGCAATGTGAGGAGATAACCTTCGAAAGTTGTCCATACATTTTATGTTGTTCTTGGCCTCATTTAAGAAATCTAGCTCCTGATAATCATAATTATAACTTATTAAGAATAAAGTTAGAATCCCATAAACAAATTAGTATATGACCATATATCCCACAATCCTAAGCCCTAACATATAAAGGGAGGAGCAAATTAGAGGTGTTAGATGTTGAAATTCCTAATCTAACCTTGGGTGAAGTTTCACGGACTTCATCTACCAACCACCTACATCATAACCAAGCAAATTTTAGGCCACATGGATAAATAGAGTCTTGACATCAAGTCTACATGGTCAAACCCTAAAACTTCTTATTCATAAATTCCTGCCAAAAGATATGGTTAGTGTAATATCATGCAAAAAGGTATAAGCTTGTAATCGAATGAAGATGTAAACCTGTAATCAAATGAAGGAAAGAAGCGATGCACAGTGTTTACAATCAATTCCACTGTGGCAAAATCAGCAGCTGCAGTATCTGTCATGTGTGTATGTTGTACCTAGAATGACAAAACATCAAATGTCAATCTTGAATTTTGTACAAAAAATTCAAGAAACATTCATTTTATGGAACAAAAAACTAAAAGAATTGGAATAGGATGATAAGAGTTTGAAACCTTCACAGCAACTTTTTGTCCCTCATGAGTACGAGCAACATGAACTTGTGCAATGGAAGCACTTGCAATTGGTACAGGATCAAAATCGTCAAAAATCTTGGAAACAAAAAGGTTTGACTCAGTTTCACTACTCAAGATATTGGGATAATAAATTTTAAGTATTAAGCACCTCTTCAGGTGTCCCACCAAGCTCTTTCTTGACAACTCGACACACTTGATCATATGTTGAAGTTGGACATTTATTCAACATTGACTCCCTCATTGTTTTAGAGTACTCTAGGGGTACCAAGAAATCCTAAATGACAAAATAGTAATTAGGTCAATGAAAGATAGTTACTTTATCTAAGTTTGCATGTATTAAAGCGGATAAATCTTGAGATAAAAAACTAAGTTTCTTGAAATTGATCATGGGTATTAATGGAAAGCAGCAGATCATACCAGTTGACCAACATGTTGACCAAGCTTGATATAAATTCCACCATTTTTGAAGCATAGCTCTTCAAGCCTACGTGCGTTCCTGGTGTGAAGTTCATGCTTTACTCTTGCCCTTTCATCGCTACCTTCTGGCAGTCCCATTAATGAATACTCGTAATCTAAAAGAACACAATTTGAATTGCATTTGAGGGAAAATGTCAAGAGCAAATATCAGCAAAGGTAAAAGAAATTGAATGATAATCACAACATGTCAACAACTAACAAAGCCAAAGAATTATTCGTACTTCAGAATTGTAAACTCGAGGTTTTCAAATGAACTAGACAAATTAAGTAAACATACCGAAGGCAATTGTAGCAGCGGTGACTGAGAGACGAAAGAGACGGAGAGGGATGGCCGTGCAGAGCTTGAGGGAGGTGGCAGGATCGTCGGAATTAGCAATGGTAGCGGCACCAACTCCGCAGCCCAAGGCGGAGGCAGCAAAGGCAAGCTTCCATTTCGAAGGCCAAATAGATCGAGGCACTGCCATGATTGTCAGCCAGTGAATTTCCTCCGGGAAAACAACCGTGAGGCGGTGGTGGGTGGTGTCCTCCCTTCCTTTTGCCTCTTATTTCACGTCAAAACGGTATATGATCAAAGGTTAAATGGAAGAAAGCAAATCAAGAATTTGACCCTTTTGGGTATTGATTGAACCAAAGCCATAAAAGAATCAAGGGGAGCGGGAACAAGAACAAGAACACCTATAAAAACTGCCTGCAAATGGTTGCCTTGGACAATTGTAGGGTTTTTCTCCGTGTCTTTTTTCCTAATTCCAATTCCAAGTTTTCAATTTTTAGATTATGAAATTGAAGTAAAAGTTTTATGTATTTTGTAAATAAAATTTTCAAAATTAAGTAATGATTAATCATTTTAATTTTAGATTAACTACTTAAAATGATATTATATTTTGTTTCGTGTTTATATTTAATAATGGTTTTAATATATTTAACCTTGTGAATTTTTTTCACATTTATAAAAAAAGGATAATAATACTTACTATTTTTGGGAGGAATATACAAATCTAGCCAAAATCTTTAATTACTTAACAAAAATTAGCCAAAAAAACCACTTAGCCAAAAATAGCCCACAAAAGAGTAGTCAACTGTAGGTTGACTACTGTTTCGCCAAATCGTCTACTGTTTCATTTTTGTATAATTTTTTTTTTTCATTTTTAGGATACAAAACCGTAGGTTTTTAAAAACCTACAGTTTCCTCTCGAAACCTACGGTTTCCTCAAAACAGTAGTTAAAACCTCCAAAACAGTAGATTTAAAATTAAAAAAAAAAACGTATTTTTTTCACCCAAAACCGTAGCTACGGTTTGGGAAACCGTAGGTTTTAAAAAACCTACGGTTTTGTATCCTAAAAATGAAAAAAAAATTATACAAAACACAAAACAATAGACGATTTGGCGAAACAATAGACGAATATCGAAACCTACGGTTTCGTAGGCTATAATTGGACATTTACTAATTTTTTGCTATAAATTGCTAATGACTTCCTTAATTTGACTAGATTAGTAATTGCCCCTATTTTTGGCATCTAAAACAAGTTTAATTGTTAAATGTATATAAAATATTATTTTTTGCTAAAAGTGAGCTCGCAAATGAGTGTGGATCGAATGATCTAGGTCACAAGTCTAAACACATTTAGATTTAAGTAGATAGTTTTTATAGTATAAATTAAAATGGGTTAAGTCATATCAGATGATTTGTCGATACTTTTTAGACATCTGTTGATAATGAAAAAGAAAGATGTAAAACTGAATATATGTATGGCATAAGAGAAAATATGTGATTCGTCAATACTTTATATATATATATATATATATATATATATATATATATATATATATATGTGTGTGTGTGTGTGTTTTTGTTAAATATATGTGGTTTCATATCGTTCTATTTTCCTTAGGTTTAAAAAAACACTTTAAAAAGTAGTCTAAAAACAAGACTTAAAAAGTAACATACTTTGTTTCGTATCACATTTAGCCAACAATGTTTTTCTACACGTTTTACCATTGAACTTGTCTCATATGTTCAAAAAAATGGTAATATTACATATAACAACCGGTAATATTACATTTTTGAATTAGTAAAACAAGTTCAATGATCAAATATGTACAACATAAACATTGTTGACTAAATGTGAACACGAAACAAAATATGTTACTATTTTAAGTCATTAACCCTTTAATTTATTCAACACTAATGATTCTTCAGTCCTATAAAAATGATATAAAATTAAGGTAAGGCTAATTGAAAATGTCGGAAGTCTACTTCGTATGAACTCAGGTGTAACAAAGAAAAAAAATGTGAGCTCATAATGTGGGGTCTTGTTATTCTCTTCCATATGAAAAAGTTTGCACGAAATGGAAAGAGATGATCAATGGTAAACAGATAACTATTATACATAACACAAATATTGAAGAACGATAGTAACAGTAAAGTAAGAAATGTGTACTTGGAAATATAGGTTGAAAATATAAAGGAACAAAGTAAGACAGTAGAATTAGCACGACAAACACACAACAGTGAAAATGTAGCTACTACTTGTACCCTTCATAATATTATTCCACTGCACTAAAGCTACTCACACATACCCTTCTATATGAGGGCATATCATCGGTAAGATCTAACTCCTTCAATTCTAACATCATGGTATCTTCTCATTTCCTTCTCCAAGAACCTCTCCTTCCGGCATTATCGACATTAGTTGTCTCCATTTTCCCAAATGTAATCCTTAGTTGTCTCTTATGTATGGGTCTAAACCACGACAATCTTTCCTACCTTATATTCCAGATGATCGAAGTCACCCTAAACATAATTTTATTATCACGGTCGATATCTTATCTAAGAAAGTTCTACCATAAGTCCTCCATACTATCCTTATTTCCATGACCTACATCTTCTCTCGTGTTTCTTCTTAATTGACCTAAGTTCATATGCATACAATCAATTGGCCTTACAACAACCATAGAAAATTTTCATTTTAGTTTTAGTTGAACCTTTTTGTCACCTAAAATTCATGTGGTTGCTCTCTATTTCACTCGCCATATCTTTATATAGGACTATAGGAGGTAACATTATCCTTATTCAATGATGTTAAACTAGTGTCAACTGACACTACAAATTCACTTCATTCCTTTGAGATCACCATGAATTTGTGCTCTCATTTTCTCTCTTTACTTTAGTATGACCAAAACCTCTTTAAACCCTAAAACATCATTTGTCTACTATTTATACCGTTCATCTACAATATTTCTTTGGATAAAATAATAAAATAAATGACTCTTATGTAGTACAAAAACTAATTCTTAATTTGAATAAAAAAGTCACTGCAACTTTTGATCATCTTGTCTTTGCTTTAACTTTCGTTTAATAAAAAAACACGATGCTTGAAAATATGGTCAAATGCAAACGTCGTGTCCTCCTTAAGTATCATATACATAAATGCCACTAGACAGACATATAAAAACCTTTAACGATATGATCTTACAATTTTTCCGACACACCTAATCTTTGAACATATTCAAAAATTTCCAAGAATATAACCCACTGATTCTTTTTTAATCTTCTACTATTTACATCACCCTCCCACATTACGACATTCCACAATGATAGGATATCGTTTTTGTGTCCTCGTCGTTGGAAAAAATACCAATTTATCTTCTTCTGCAGGTTTCCAACTGAAATAAAAATGAAAAATAACTTAATTCATTGATGAAAAAAAAAGTGGAATCAAGTTTTGATGTGTAAATAATATTTGTTGATATTTGTAACCTGAAACGAGTGATGAGATGATGAAGGAAAACAGATAATGCCACCCTTGCTAGCTCATGACCCGGACATTTCCTTGGCCCTCCTCCAAATGGCATGAAGTTTATCGGATCGGATGTATTCTGTTTACAATATTTTATAAAACAAAATAATTGTTTATGGTTATTTTATTTGCTACAAATGCAAATACATGTAGCAAGGGGGTAAAACTGATTAATATTGTTAAAACTAATGATTTTTTTTAACTGTTTTGAAAAAGAAAAAAAAAACAGACCTGCCATCTCCAAGGATCGAAAACACGAGCATCTTTGAAATTTTCTTGACCAAGATGAACTGCTCGAAGCGAAGTAAAGACCTTTGATCCCTTTGGAATTGTATAACCTGCTTGAATTGAAAATTATAATAAATTAATGAACCAAAAGATTTGAATTTTATGTCTATAAATGCTAAAAACCTTTAACAAAGACATTACCTTTAATCTTGACATCAGTAATTGCTCTACGAAATACGCCGCTAATTATGTTAGAGAGCCTCAAGGTCTCGTTAACAACCTGAAAAAAATGCATTGAGTTTTATTTAATCAGTTCATTTTTTTAATATTTTGTAAGTTTGATTAAGACTGCAAATGAATTAAAATTTTATTAAATTATTTGATTATAAATTAAATAAAAAAAATCATTAAACATACACATTGTGTGAACGGCATAGACTTGTAATCATCCCATTCAAGAGCCACCGATGTTCCTCTATTTGCCCTAATTTTATCATGTTCTTCCTGTAAATAGATGATCAAAAAGCAAGTATTTAATCATAACTGAAGGTATCACGTATGCAAGATATAAGTTACAAGAAACTCTAGTAATGTTTTATCTATGGATGATAGATTAAATAAATTTGTTACAAAATTTTATTGTTTTATTTTGGATACTATTACTTGGACAAAAAAATTCTTCGAAGATGTAACATTTATTTTGGGACAATCAAAGACTCTGTTTTTAAAACATAAATACTTGTAAAAAAAAAAAAACCACCGAAGTTCGAGTTTCATTAATAAAAGTCACCAAAGTTTGATATTTTTTTCTAAAACAACTTTTATTTGTTGTTAAAGTGGTCACAAACATGATGTAACATGTCATAACAAATCAAAATGATAGTCACTTGAGTGTTATAAGTAAAAAATGTGAAATATAGTGATTAAACCATAATAATTGCCAAAATATAGTAACTTATGTAATTTGCCAACTTTTCTTAAAAACACCAGAGAAAAAAAAATACTATAAGACTGTAAACAACTGCAACCTTTGTTAACAAAATCCGGTGGTGTGTTGTTTACCTTATGATAGTATTTTTTTTTTTTTTTTAACATATCAAATAGTTAGTTACTTATTTACCATATTAACCCCATAAATATGAGATTCACCAAAGTAACCCTTGAATGGACAAAATTACCCATACAATTTCCAAAACCACACACACATAGACAACGTTATGTGATTATCTAAAGGAGGGCGTGCGGATTTTGCATCATCTATTAACAAATGTTGTCTCCTCCTTTTTCCACTTTTATCCATTAAACTTGTGACTTTTCAATGCTTTTGCACACTCCTTTTGTTGACTTTTTGGACCAATTTAGTCTTTTTCCTCTCTCTCACTCTCTCTCCTCGACACACGTGAGAATGATAGGGGAGAATACGAACCTGAAGTTGAGCAAGAGCCGACGGAGTGTCTGTAAGGAATTTAACGGCGAGAGTCATGGTGGTCGAGGTGGTGTCGTAACCTGCAACCAGCAGAGAAACCAAGAAATCCACGATCTCCTCGTCGTGGAAGACCACATCACCACCGTCGCTGTCAAACAACGCCGCCAACATATCATTTTTCTTCACCCCTCTCTCCCTCTCCCTCCGCCGCTCTCCGACCACCAAATTCAACGCTACCGTCACCCTTTTCCTCGCCTTCAAAAACGCCATTTTAATCCATCAGATAAATAAAAAACTAATTTGAT